CTTCCTCCTAAGCCATCATCTTCATTGCAGCCAATGTAGTCTGCTAAAACCTCATTCTGATCATGTCATTCTGCAGATTAAAATCTTAAAGGGACTTGCTTGTGCCGACAGTATTCAATTCGTATTTTGCAATTTGGTTTAGACACTTGTGTAATATGTTTTGCAGTTTCTCTTTACTTCTTCAGTGTCACCTATCACAATGTGTCTCCTCATTTTTCTAATTAGTCTTTCTGCCTGCAGTTTTAACAAGCAGCTTTCTATATCTCAGTTCATCTGCTATAGGTGGTTGTGATTTTTTTGAAATATAAAACTAATTTTTTCATGTTCTGGCTTAATATCCTCCTACGAATGCTCACACTTTTTTTTTTTTTTGAGATGGAGTCTCGCTCTGTCGCCAAGGCTGGAGTGTAATGGTACAATTTCTGCTTCAAGCAATTCTCCTGCCTCAGCCTTCCAAGCAGCTGAGATTACAGGCATGTACCATCACGCCCAGCTAATTTTTGTATTTTTAGTAGAGGCAAGTTTTGCCATGTTGGCCAGGCTGGTCTTGAACTCCTGACTTCAGGTGATATACCTGCCTTGGCCTCCCAAAGTGCTGTTATACAGGTGTGAACCACTGCACTCAGCCAATTCCCATGCATTTTAAAATAATGCCCTAATATTCAATAATCGCTTTAAGGTCACTTAGTATTTGGTCAGAACCATTGCCATAGTATATATTGTTACTTTAGTCTGGTATATCATTCTCCTCTTGGTAGCTTCCTATGTCCAGCTTATTCTTCAAGATTCAGCTGAAACTTCCCCTCCTCTAAGATGGGTCCTTATTACATACTTCCTACTTCTTTAGGACCTATACATACCTATGAGATTCACTCATTTGTTCATTTATTCATCAAAGGTGTATGTACTAGGCATTCGAGAAGCTAAATGAGCAAAATATTTTGACTCACAAAAACTGTGTCTTTCATGTGGCTTGATCTAATAGATAAAAATCTTTGCCCTCATGCAATGTAAATTCTGGAAAAATGGTAGCATGAAACAAAATGAATAAATAAAACATGTATTTTGCTAAATGGTGATAAGTGCTTCAGGAAACAATAAGTCCAGAAACGGAGATAGGAGGTCCTGGGGTCAGAGGAAAGGATGATTTTCAGGAAGTGTGGGATTTGGACAAGTATCTAAAGAAGATGGAGGATCTAGCCATGGGGCTATCTAGGGGCAAACTCAAAATCCTTGATAAAAATCTCTCTGGTATGTTTGAGGAGTGACAAGGAAGCTAGTGCTATGAGTAGATTGAAGTTAGTGTGGAGCAAAGTGCTAGAATATGAATCCAGAGAACTAAAAGGGACTAGATTTCCATAGGACATTTTGGACCCTTGTAAAAACCTGGGTTTCTACTGTGAGAGAAGCCACTGAAGGAGTAAAAGCAGAAGAATATATAATTTGTTGCTCGTTTTAACAAGAAAGTTTTCATTTCTGTATATATAACAGCTTGAAGGGAGCAGGGGACGAGACATCTGTAGGAAAAATAAAGCAGTCATTCAGGCCAGAGATGGAGGAGGCTTGGACCAGGGTGGTAGTAGTGAGGTTGTGAGAAGTAGTTGGCTTCTGGATGTATTTTTAAAGGTAGAGCCAGTAGGATATGCTAATCAACTGCACATGGAATGTGAGAGAATGCGGGAAAATAAGGATGATGCCCAACAAGATGTTGGGCATGGACAGCTGGAAAGAAGGATGGAATTACCATTAACTAGGTGAGAAAGATTTTAGAAGGAGAAGGTGTGTGTGTGATGTGTGTGTGTGCGTGTGTGTGTGATATCAGGAGTTTGGTTGAGACACTTGTTAGATCTCCAAGTAGAAATGTCAGGTGGATAGTTGAATTATTGAGTCTGGAAGTCTGAAAAAACTGAATAATATTTTGTCATCTAAATGATATTTATGACCATGAGACTAGATGTTATCACATAACTGAGTGAATCAGAAAAGTGAAGAGAACTATCTGAAACCTGGGAGTCCTCCAACATTAGGAAGTGATTAAGATGAGTAGTAGGAGGAATCCGGCAGGAATCTGAGGAGTGGCCGGTGAGACCAATAGAAAAGTAAGAGAAGCAAATAAAACGCTTTAAGGACAGGAAGTGATTGATCAGCTATACAAATGCTGCTGACAGCTGAAGCATGTTGAAGACTGAGAACTGGCAGTTGGATTTGGTATCTTGAGGCCATTCGTGATCTTTATGTGAATAGTTCTGGTAGAGTAGTGGGAAGAAAACCTTGTTGCAATGAGTTCAAGGGAGACTAGAAAAAGGGAGTATACATAGGCAAACACACTACTTGCACCTATTGTCCCAGGTTGTAAGTATTCTCATATATGTTTTGATTTGGCTATTGACTGAAGTGTTCACCCTGGCTATACAGGAAACACTTTCAAAGAGCATGTATGGAAACCATAGCTGGAGGAACTGTGATCAAGAGAGCTTAGATTGGTGATGTGGGAGATAAAGGGGGGAATTTGGAGAATTATGTCTTTGAAAAGGCAAAAGGAGATTAAATGTGAAGGGCTTAGCCTTGGAGAGGAGCTTAGTCAGTTCATCCTTTGTAAGGCTGGGAGAGCACACTGTTATATTTCTCACATTGAATTTTTGTTAATTAATTTGTTTGTTTTCTACATATTATGAACCTCTTAAGAGCAGTAAGTATAAATGTCTTGTTTATTTTGTGATAGGAATTTTATTGTTCTATTTCTATTCCCTAGTACAATGCCTGGCACACAGCAGGTACGTAATAAAGCTTTGAATGAGCAAATGAAGATACTGTGCCAAGCATGTATATATTTTATCTTCCTGCTCAAATTGGATCATTTCCATTAAATCTTGACAACTGGATTAATTTGTGTTTCTCTTGTCTGGGCATACAGATAACTTGACTACCTGGTAAGACTGATTGATAGGAATGGCTGTATTTCTACCAAAAACGGGGAAGTGTATTAAGACTAAAAGCAGTGACATTTGCTATATAATTTTAGAATAGTTCTCGTTATGGTTTTAATGTGAATCTACTAGACACTTTATGTAGGACCTTTTGAAAGCTATCCATTCTTCCTCAGTATTCATTTTACATTTATATTTTACCATTCATATGGCAGGTATCATTATCTGTGGTCACAATCTAACTTAATAAATGACAATGTCTTTGGTAATGGGCATTGCATCTTCATTGCTTTTTATCTTAATAATCCATGTCTTCTTCATTGCTAAATTAAAAATGCTTAGTCCAGGCTCTGATACAAGATGGGTGCCAAATAAATATTTGTTGAATGAATGAATGCACAAATTAATAAAGACTGTCTCTTGTGGATGTGGTTGATGCATAGACAGACTAGATCCCTTTTCCTGTTTGGTATGCATACCTTCTAGCTCCCACTGCTTTGCTCCTAACAGCTCACACAGAACACCTTCTCTAAAGGAGTATCCCTGGGCAGTGAGACCTGCATCACCAAGATGCTCAAGAACCAGAAGTGCCTGGGGTTTTATGTCTTCCCTTTGGTAACCAGTAGCCAATGTCAAGGTGCAAGAGTATAGAAGCCTAGTTCTCTTGCCTCAAGGCAGTGTGAACTCACCAGTGTAATTTGCACTCCAGAGCTCCTGTGGATCAGGCTGAGTCCAGGACTTCACCTGAAATTGCACTTTTGCTTGGCTTATTATCCTCCATTATCCTGCTTCCCCCATTCCCCCGTGAGTTTCTTGTTAGAGCATTTCTTTATTAAATCTCTTGTACACTCATCCTTTTATAATCAACTTTTATTATACATCCTAATAGATGATGTATAATATGTACAACTTTCTTTTTTTAATTGACTGTAAGTATTCACTTCTGTATACTGAGTAAACCATTTATTTTTCTAGGTATTTGAAAAGAACAAAAATTCCCTTATCTGTAAAATGGGGTTGGAAGTAATGTGTTTTAGAACTGAAAGCACTTTACCAGCCAGCTGGTGGCCAACATCTTCATTTTATAAATGAGAACATTGGAGACCCAAAGAAATTAAATAACTCGTTCAGAATCACCCGGCTTGGTTAGTGGCAGAGTAAGACTAAAATCCAAGTCCCAAGACACTGTGCTCTCTACTGCTCCCCAAAATATATATTTCCTATTCACAGAATTGATACGAGGATTAGGGACCACATCTGTGAAAAATAGATTTAGCCTTTGGAAAGAAAGATGCTGGATAGTTTTATGAAAGCTTTATGAAAACTAATCTCATTTTAACCTTTTCTATACAGTTGTTAGTTTTGTTCAGTTTTATGTTACTTGCTTTAGGCTTTTCTTTTTGGCCAAGGATTAGATAATATATGATGCTTGGTTTAAAAATCAATATTAAGTATCTGGATTGTGTTAGAAATATGAATTACTTCTGCTGAGTTTGAAGCCAGAAGCAGTTGCAGACAGCGTTCCAGAATGGTGATTCCTGTGTACATGAAAAGTTTTCTATCCCTACTTTGCATATTGGGAATAAAGAAAGTTGTTTCTAAAGAAAAGAAGGAAGCATAAATTACATAAACATTGTGTAACACTTTGGAAGCTTGGTACGCAACCTGCCTTTAACAAACCGTGAATTTTCTCTCCTGCCAAGTCACCATACCCTGCCTACTTTCAGCATAGTCAGGGACCCATTATACTAATCCACTGTATGTACCTTCCCATCTCTAGCAAGCACATGTAAATGATAACTTTGAATATTTATTTTGATGCAAGGTGTGTAAATCTTCTCAATGTCATCTTGTAAAGTGAGGAAATTGTGACTGGGTCTACTTAGTTACTTCAATTACTTCATTTGTTTAAGATTGTTTCTTTTAGCCAGTGTGCTCTGCTATAGTGTATGAACAAGAATCCTGTTTAAATTTTGTAGTATTCTAAGTGATTTGTGTAGATTCATATTTGCAGGGAAGATAAATCTCATGTGCTAAAAGGCTAAAGTAACTTTTATATATATTTTTAATTAGGTACGATTATATGCAAGACCTGATGCTATCAGAAGAGGATCCGGGGACTATGCTCTTCATATAACAAAGAGATTAATAGAATTTTATGAAGACTACTTTAAAATACCCTATTCCTTGCCAAAACTAGGTAAGAATTTTCTTGGTTATTTTATTGGAAAGGCTCCTTGAAGGTAGAATTTCTTCTTAATATGTTTATTTGAGCCATCCAGAAGCATGAAAATTTGGAGATTTATATTTTTAGAGAAGATAAGCATGAAAAAATAATTTCTTTTTTTTGAGGTAATATAAGATTTACTGTTTCTGGAGTCCTGCCAGTAAGTGCTCGTAGGAATTAAGAAGGCATTATGTTAGTTTAGGATTCCAAAAGACAAGACAAATATCTGTAACTTGTTGAGTATGTACTATGGAGGGGTGCCTGCCAACATGATGTTTAATCAGTAACACTACCATGGGTGTAGGCACAACTAGAAGTTTTTCCACATAAGGGAGTTAAGACCCAGGGAGTTTTCGATTTATCTAGACAGCCAGTAAGTGAAGGGATTGGGATTTTAAACTAGGTCTTGATGACTCCCAAAACAACTCAGTATTTTACATGGAGAAGACTTTCATTGATTTATTTCTCTTTTCAAATTTTCACATATCAGAACTCGATGTATGTTATCCCTTAGATTATTTTTGTTTAGTCATATATCTAGTACACTGTTATAGTAAATGGAATACAAATAAGAGAGAAGAGAAACTTGGTAATAATGGAGATTGTATTCTCTATGAATGTTTTTATATTTCTTCCTTGTACAAAGAGAATGCACTCAATAATTGTCAGTCAAATGCATAAACGCATTAATTGGTTTTCTGAATTTGAATGAGGCTATTGCTTTTGCCAGGGAGTGAACAAGACTTTCCAGGAAGTTAGAAGGGTCCCTACGTGCATTAGAAATGTGGAAGTTGTTTTTCCTTCCCAGAACACCTGTTTTGAAATATTACATCGCAACAGTTCTTTATTGCCCCTCTCATCCCTCCTCTTCCCTTATCTTTCCCAAGAGTATTTTTGATCAGATTCCATATTAAAGGTATTTCTCATTGGCAAGATTAAAGTGCTTACTTGATCAAAAGTTTTTGTATCTGAACCACAGGTTCTCCTCCCTGTAGAACCAGGCCACTTTCATTAAAGTACCTGCCTGCTGTGTAGCTTTAATGGTCTTGCAATGAGTAGTTGATTCGGAAGGTCAATAGTGTAGTTGCTATTGTTATCAATGGGTGTGACATACAGTTTTTATGAGTGATATTACAAAATTCTGAGATCTTTTTGAAATATGATATTTTAGAATTCATAGGAAAAACTATATTTTAAGTAGGATCAGTGTTTTGTTTTGTTCTGTTTTCCTTCTCTTTTCTCCCTGTGTCTCAACTTCCCTATTAGAATCTCTTATACTTAAATCTCCCTGGTGTTCACCCAAGGCAGAAAAAAAATGCTTGACCTTATTTGCATGGAAGGTGGCACTGTTATCTACTCCAGGTATAACTGCTGGGAATTTCCCAGCTTGACCCTAATGTAAAATTCACAAGTGCTTATATTGCAAGTGCAGCAAAAGAAATAAAATGTGGATCCTTATTTGTCCCCTTCACACCAGTAATTAGCAGAGGAACTCAATTTATAGCTTCAGGGGTTTCCATGTAACTGTCAGCTTGCAGCAGAAAGCATTTCTATTCCTCTGTTTCACTCACAACTGAACCACGCAGCCTTTCACCTGTAGAAAAGAGCTTTGTTCACCATTACCACTACTTGTTAAGCTACCTTATGGTGTATATAATTGAATTACTTGATTTATCCTAGCATACATTTTTTTATATATCTAGGGGAGTTACCATGGCTCATGGTGCTTTGTAAAATTCTTCTTAAAGTTCTACTTATTTTATATATCTACAGATATTTAGATCTGTATGTTAATGGATTTATAAATATGTTTTCTAAATACCCCTGCATAAAACCCCTAAGCACATATGCATTTTGACATTCCTACTTTCCACTCTACATTATGAATTGTATTTTAAATAAATTCTATGGGGACCAACTTACTCTTTGTTGGTGATGCATATAGATGTATCCTAGATATCACCTGAGGCTGCCTTGACCCTTCATATCTAAGATGGTTTTCCATATCCATTCTACCCTTTCTGCATGCCCTAATTTGTTCTATAAGCATTTATTGAGTTCCTACCATGGACATTTTCCTATGGGAAGCAGATACACCCCTGAGTGACAAAGGCAAAAATCTTCTCTCTCCTGGGGCTTACATTCTTTAGGTAGAGACAGACATTAAAGCAATTAGTAATATTGATAGAATATCAGATTGGAGATACATACCATGAAAAATAAAGCTGGAACAGAGGGATAGGAAGTGTGGGAGACAGATGGGGCATGCAAAAGCAGCTGAGTTTTTAAAATGGGCAATCATGCAAGACTTCATTGGGAAGGTGGCTTTTGAGTGAAAGACTAAACTCAGTGGATATCATGGAACAAAACTATAGGCAGAGGGAACAAAGTGCCTAGGGATTGAGGTGAAAGTTTTCCTGGTATATTTCAGGAACAAGAAAGAGGCAAGTGTGACAGGGGCAGAATAAGTAAAGGGGTAAGAAGTAGATGATATGGTTAAGGAGGAATGGGTGGGTGGCAGATCATAGACCATCAGCAGAGCAGGCTGTAGCTTTCCCCTTCCTCCCTCCCTCCCTCCCTGCTTCCCTCCCTCCCTGCTTCCCTCCCTCCCTCCCTCCTCCCTACCTCTTCCTTCCTTCCTTCCTTCCTTCCTCCCTTCCTCCCTCCATCCTTCCCTCCCCTCCTTCCTTCCTTCTCTCCCTGTTTCCCTCCCTCCCTCCTTCCTTCCTTCCTCCTTCCATCCTTCTTCCCTCCCTCCCTCCCTGCTTGCTTCTTCCCTCCCTCCCCACCTCCCTGCTTGCTTGCTTGCTTCCTTCCTTCCTTCCTTCCATTTTGTGAGATGGAAATCTATGGGTCAGTTTTAAGAAGAGGCATCATATAATCTGATTAATATTGTTAAAGGTCATTCTATGGCTTAATTGAGAATACACTGTAAGGCAATGATTCTCAATTGGGGGACAATTTTGTCCCTGTGGTGCATTTGGTAATATCTGGAGACATTTTTGTTTGTTACTCCTTGGGACGTGAGTACAGTGTATGCTACTAGCCGTTAGTTGGTAGAGGCCTGACTGATACTGTTAACCATCCTAGAATTCACAGAATGGCTCTTTAAAACAAAGAGTTATTTAGCCCAAAATGTCAATATTACCAGGGTTGAAAGAATCTGATATAAGGTGAAATGACAGAGGCATGACAACCGGCTAAGAAGCTATGGCAAAATTCAGACCAAATATGATGGCTGCTTGGATGATGATATTAACAGTTAGAGGTCAGAAGTGGTACCATTCTGAATATATATTGAAAGTAGTTACAAAAGCTTTTAATAATGGACAACATATGTGATTGTAAGAGAAAGAGAGGCATCTAGGGCAATTACAAGGCTTTTGGCCTGAGAACTAAGAGGGTGGAATTGCCATTTACTGAGACAGAAAGATTGCAGAAGGTGATAATTTTTGAGACTGACATGTCTATTTAGCATTTAGGTGGCACTGTTATATCTGTAAGAAATCCAAGTAGACAGCTGAATTTGAAACTATGGAATTTGGGTGAGTAATCTGGCTAGAGATATGCATTTGCCAGCATATTATGATGTGTAAAGATGTGAGGCTGAATGGGATTACTACAGCAGTGAGGGCAGGTGGAGAAAAAATAGGAGCAAGTGGGGACTGGTCCCATGTTCAGAGGTTAAAGACTCCTAGGGGTCAGTAATGGCTACTGAGCAGGAGCATATGGTTGATGTTAAGGAAACCAGATATTTGTGGTGTCTCGGACATGGAGTGGAGAAAGCATTTCAAAGAGTAAACAGTATTTGTGGTAAATCACGTTAGATGAGGTCTCAGAGTTAACCATTCATTGATGCTAGCAATATGAAGGTCACTGGTGAGCTTGACAAGAGCAGTTCTAGAGCACAGACTTGACAGGTGTGCTTAAAAGCAAATGGACATGGGATTGGGGAGTGGAGACAGTGACTAGAAGCAGTAAGTGAAGATCACATGTTGGCATTTCTGAAAATTTTTAGTGGGAAGGATTCTGGAAATGGGAAGAGAGGGAGACAGGCCTGTGGTATAACAATATCCATCTCTGGAGAAGAGCTGTTTCTGCTGAAGTGATGGCATTCTTACTTCACAAATTATCCCTGTCCCAAATCATGTCCAGGAAGGTGTGGTATTTGCCTCTTTCATTGGTTTTCATTAGAAAACCAAAAATGGAAATAAATAAATTGGAAGACTCTTCACCAGTTGGCCTGACTTTACTGAAGCTTTGGAGGGAATGTTAGTATATGTGAATTTCAGGGTGTTACATTGCAAAACAGATAAACAAGAAAGTAAAACAAAATCTTAAATCTTAGTATTGGATCCTTCTCTCTCTCTCTGTTTTTTTTTTTTTTTTGATCATGCACAAGTCTTTATTTATTTATTTATTTTTGTTGTTGTTGTTCTGTCATAAACTCTACAATACCTTCTTTCTTCCCAAATTCTTTTTTATTTCTGATGTGGAATAGAAATTTCTCTACTGTGGACTCATCTCATGCAAGTTCCTCTCTAAGGATTTGAGCTTCCACCTCAAGTAGTTTATCAGGATAGTTTCCTAAGAGGAATTTTGATGCTAGCTGTTAGGATAATACTTTATTATTTTTGTTTTATAAAGATACTCTTTTATCATTGTAAGTAACCAGTGCACACTGTGTGAAAATTTGTTTTTAAATCTCTAAATTAGGTAATTAAAACTATTTGTATGAGGTTTGCAGAAATTTTCTATTTCTTGGTGTTAAATTGTAATAAGAGGTACAGTGCCTACTTAATACAATACAGCAATCCCTCCTATATCTATGTACCCTATTTTTGTAAGGACTCTCAGATGAATGGAGAGTTACTTTAAGAGAAAGTTGTAGACATATAAATAATTGTTATTTTTTTATATCCCAAACACATATTTATCACAATAACAACAACTGGAAACTATGTGTGTTTACT